ATTGTATGGGGAGACAGGTACCAATGGAGGGCTAGGGAAGGCCAGAAGGTAGAGAGTTAATTTCTGATTGTGGGAATGAGAAAGGAAAGAAAGAAAGGAAAGGAGAGGAAAGGAAAGGAAAAGAGAAAGGAAAGGAAAAGAGAAAGGAAAGGAAAGGAAAGGAAAAAGGAAAGGAAAGGAAAGGAAAGGAAAGGAAAGGAAAGGAAAGGAAAAAGGAAAGGAAAGAAAGGAAGGAAAGGAAAGGAAAGGAAAGGAAAAAGGGAAGGAAAGGAAAGGAAAGGAAGGAAGGAAAGGAAAGGAAGGAAAGGAAAAAGGAAAGGAAAGGAAAGGAAAGGAAAGGAAAGGAAAGGAAAAAGGAAAGGAAAGGAAAGGAAAGGAAAAAGGAAAGGAAAGGAAGGAAGGAAAGGAAAGGAAGGAAGGAAAGGAAAGGAAAGGAAAGGAAAGGAAAGGAAAAAGGGAAGGAAAGGAAAGGAAAAAGGAAAGGAAAGGAAAGGAAAAAGGAAAGGAAAGGAAAGGAAAAAGGAAAGGGAAGGAAAAGGGGAAGGAAAGGAAAGGAGGGAAGGAAAGGAAAGGAAAGGAAAGGAAGGAAGGAAAGGAAAGGAAAGGAGAGGAAAGGAAAGGAAAGGAGAGGAAAGGAAAGGAAAAGAGAAAGGAAAGGAAAAGAGAAAGGAAAGGAAAGGAAAGGAAAGGAAAGGAAAGGAAAGGAAAGGAAAGGAAAAGAAAGGAAAGGAAAGGAAAAAGGAAAGGAAGGAAGGAAAGGAAAGGAAAGGAAAGGAAAAAAGAAAGGAAAGGAAAGGAAAGGAAAAGGGAAGGAAAGGAAAAGGGAAGGAAAGGAAAGGAAAAAGGAAAGGAAGCAAGGAAGGAAGGAAAGGAAAGGAAAGGAAAGGAAAGGAAAGGAAAGGAAGGAAGGAAAGGAAAGGAAAGGAAGGAAGGAAAGGAAAGGAAGGAAGGAAAGGAAAGGAAAGGAAAGGAAAGGAAAGGAAAGGAAAAAGGAAAGGAAAGGAAAGGAAAGGAAAAAGGAAAGGAAAGGAAAGGAAGGAAAGGAAAGGAAAGGAAAGGAAAAAGGAAAGGAAAGGGAAGGAAAGGGCTTCGGGGGGGGTGGGCAGGGGAGGAGTGGAAATTTGAGCCAGCTACCAAAATATGGGTCTGATTTTGCCACGTGGGGTTGCAGTGGGGAGCAGGTACAGGTGGGCAGCGGGGAGGGCTAGTCCCTGTAAAAGGAACTGATTCAGTCAAGGCAGGGGATGGCGAATCCCAGACTCAAACTACGAGGGCAGAGCAAAGGTGGGCTCGTGTGTGGTGGCAAAGGAGAATCGCTGACCAAGAGCCTGCATCCTCAACCAACACAGCCCGGCTGGGCTCTTCCCCGGGCAGCTGCGGTGTGTGTGAGCCTCGGGAAGGACGCAGCCACCCCCTGCCCCTGTGTGCTCCCTAATGTGGCAGCAGCTGCGTGAGGATGTCGCCGCATTATGGTCGCACACAGGCCTGTGAGAAAAAGGTCCTCGCCCCTTGGCTAAGAGCATTCATCGCTCCATTCACAAACGGTCACTGCATGCCTGCTGGGTGCTAGGGGCTGTGGTGGGGGCCACCGCACAGAATAAGGCAGGACCCTGGCAGCATGGAGCTTGCGTACTGGCCCAGCGACACGCGTATCCAGCAAAAAAGCAATGACGCATATTTAATTACAACGTCTGGGGACGATGAGGCTGTGCAGGAAAACAAAGACAAGTGACAACGGGGTGGGAGTGGCAGGGGCGGGGCTGCCGTCCGAGATAAAGTGGGCGAGGAAGCCGTCTCTCCTGAGATGACACTAGCACTGGGCATGACATAAGGCGGCAAGCCGTGGAGGGGAAGGGGGCAGTCAGGTAAGCGTCCCAAAGGGAGAATGAACTTGGTCGGCTCCAGGAGAAGCCGGCAGGCCCGTGTGGCTGGAGCCGGTGGACAAGGGGGTGCATGGCAGGAGATGCGGCAGGATAGGGGACAGGAACAGGAAGAGGACAGGGACCCCTGGCACAGGCCATGGGAAGGGTCGTGGGGGGCATTCGTGCTCACCGCAGTGGGAGGAACCGCCTGCCCGCACCGGCTGCCCTGTGGGGAATGAGGGCAAAGCGGGGAGTAGGACTGAATATGCAACGTCGTCTGGAGATGGAGGCCACGGGACCCGCTGACCTCTCCCGGGAGGACAGGCAGGAGGAGCAGTCCAGGAGGGCTATGTCCGGGTGCTCGCAGCCGTCACCTTGGGGGCCTAAGCTAAGGCTTTGGTGGAGAGGCCCTCTAACCATACTCACGGAACAGCCCTGTGCATGGGGACTTGGGCTCTCTCTCTCTCTTTATAAAGGAAAAAGAAAATGAAAGCAAGTTAGAGGGTACTTCAGTTCAGACATCGAGCCCTCGTAGGACATGAGGCACTGGCCACAGAAGACGTTCCCCCACACCCCACACCAGTGCTGGCTGCAGACTGCAAGGGGACCGGGCATGAAAGGCGCCCCCTCGGCTCCCTTATGCCAGCTTGTTGTTGTGACTTGACTCCTGTTCATCAAGAGCCAAGTAAAGAAGCCCCTGCTAAGAGCAAGCCAGAGGCCTGGCCCCCTTCCATCACACAGCCGTGTCAAGAGCAAAGGTCGTGGACATTTTCCATGGGGCGGCTGCGCACTCTCTTTTGATTCCTCTTTCAAAGAGAGGGAGAGGAAGTGTTCCCCCTTTTGGTGAACACATCGCAGCCACGCAAACAGAGCTGGCTTTGAGAGAAAGCCACCCCACTCCCCATTTTTTGGTGACTTTAATGATTAGAAAAGGCTTTCCTCTGCATTATGCTTTTATTAGCTTGGTTCTCACCCCAAAAGTAATGCTCGGAAGAAGGTGGGGAGAAAAAAAAATCCCACTGAGCTATTCTGAAGCTCAGTGAATATGGGAAGGAAAAACAAAAGCAAGGAGAGGTAGTTCACGTTCTAAGGCTATGTGCGGGCACCCTAAGCCCTCAGCCAGTTCATAAACAACTTCATTTGAAAACTTCCAGCTTGCAATTTAGTCATTCTTCGGTGAGAAATATGTGATTTGCCACACATGAAATGGAATCATTACGCCTTGACAAAATCGAAGGCAAATCAAAACTGGCTCTATGTGCTTCATACCTCCTTCTCCTTAATAAATTAGGTCTCCCCGTGGAAGGCATTCCAGAAAGACGCTAGCATGGGGCTCTGCCTGGAAGAGGGATGCACACCGATCATCAGAACGCAGGCAGCTCGACCGGCCCACCCCGTCCTACCCCCAACTCACATACACACAGAAAAGGAACCTGCCTCCTCCCTCTCCAGCTCTGTATTTAAAGCCCCACACAAGCCAGCCACAGCACAAGGCTATTCAGACCAAACGCAGGATAAGAGTGCATAGACCTACGCACACACAAAAGTGCATGTAAACACTGGTGAGTTCTGAATAAGGTCTGCCGTCTAATTCAACAGTACTAGGTCAACGTCACTTTTGTGGTCTTGCTAGTGCGCTACAGTTATGAAAGACCTCACCACTTGGGGGAAGCCGGGGGAAGGATACACAGGACTCTCTCCCATCTTTGCAACTTCTTGCAAATCTATAATTATTTCAAAATAAAGAGTTTTTTGTTTTTTGTTTTTTTTTGTAATGCCACATGTATTCGTTCTACGGCAAGTGGCGTCTGACCACTCAAACCACTCTGGTTAAACAGATCCTTGAAGTGTCCGTCATATACAAGGCTGTTTTGGGGTGGTCTCAGGAAATATTCGTCGCCACTGTTTTCTCAGTGTTCTTAAGTCATCTTGCCCCAAAGCAGTCCTCTTAAAGACCAGGAGGGGTCAGGCGCCCCCCGAGGAAGGGTCTGCTGTCACAGGCCCATGGGGGTTGGGTCACAGTTACCCTAGATCCAAATCCCACCGGCTCTGCCGCTGCTCTGGAGGTCTGGAGCTTTAAGATGCATCAGGGTCATGGGAGTGTGTTTGAAGTGCTGATTTCAGGGCCCTGCACTCCACAGGTCCTGACTGAGTAGGATATGGACGGGGCCTGGGAATCTGCATTGACAACAAGAGCCCTGCGTGATTCTGTCGCAGCAGGTCCCAGGGCTACATCTGAGGAGACACTGTCAGATTCCGGGTGAGTGCCTGGGAGCATGCCCAGGTTAGCTCCCCACTGCAGGACGACCAGAAGAGCTGGCAGGCGCTCAGCATCCACATAGGAATGTGCCCCTCATACCAATGGAGAGAACTAAGAGTGCACAAGCCACAGACCTCCAACCCCAGTGCTTACAGAAGGTCACAGGGACCTCCTGTGTGGGTCCTTCGGAGGCTGTAACCATGTGGCTTTTAGGATATGGTGCAGAGTTTGGGCTCTATCATCATCGTGGCTATTTTTTGCCGAGTGCTGATTATGCGTTAAGCAAATTACATCTCATTTAATTTTCACAACACGGCTCTGAGGGAGTTGTTATTTATCATCCCCATTTTACAGGTAAGAAAACCGAGGCTCCCAGAATTCCAAGAGTACATAGGCAGAAAGTGGCAGAATCAGGAGTTGAACCCAGGGGCTCTGGGCTGAAACCCACTGTGTGATACCACCTTTCGCAGCAAGTCTCCTCTTGAGGTCCTCACCCCCTCCTGGATAAAACACTCCACTTAAACGTAACTGACACTCGAAGGACTCAGGAAGGGAGAGAGGGAGGAAGATTTTCCCCGTGTCTGTTTCGGTGGCATTAACACTCCTTTCCAACTTCAGACCCAAACCCCTCCAGGTCCCTCCATGATCTCTGTGACTCTCCGGTGCAGTCTATTCTCTCCTACTATTTCTTCTCTCTTCACCTTTTTACTCCCCGCGCCCCCACTACCTCCCCAAAGTCCTAAACTACAGGCTCGGTGTGCCCGTCATTTTCCCCACCTCCCCCACTGCCAGAGTAAGAACCTTCTCCTGTCATTCTCTCGTGATACAGGCTATCTGAAGAAATGAGCATCAGGTTCCTTGCAAGGCAAATGACCTACCACTTTCAAGAGGACACTGGGGAATCTTGTTTGCTCGAAGGTTCCAAATATAATCCATGTTCCACTCAAGGCACACTTGATGATCTTTGAAAGGGCGTTCGAAAGGTGGGACCGTCTTCAGCAGAGTATAATTCTTCGCTACAGCATGTAGCAAATTTTCCTCCCATTTAACATTCAAGTCTGCGCCACTGTATTTGTGAGTAATCCAGGCGCGTAGTATCACCGCGGATACTGCAATGGAGTGTCTGATGAAATAATCATCTCTATAAACCATGATGCTTGGAAATTTCACATGTACTATTTGTGTCCTGCTGGTGTGAAGATGCTTCTCGTTCTTCCACCTCTTTTTGTACACAGAGATGCTACTTTTGAACTCAGATGAAACAACGGCTTCCAGATTGACAACACAAGGCTGAGAGCATAAATACTCAACCGAGACTTCAGAAACATTGCGGACATTCCCTTCAAAGACAGTGAAATAAATAAAGTCTTTGTAAGCCACGCTGTGCTCAGCTTTGGGGGTCACCGACGTCGTCAGGGAAGTCTGCCTGCCCAAAGACGGCATGATGTTCTGAAGAGGGGGGAAAAAAAAAAAAGAAAGGAAAAAAGAAGGACAGAAAGTTTAAAAATCATCACATTAACAAATATGTGAATCATTTTCCGGGGATAAAAAAAATCCATCTACAGAAAGCACTGAATGTGGGACATAAAAGATGGCAAAACCACTCCCCAACAATTAGAGAAAAACCAACACACACACACAAATGAAGATTAGGCCACATTTAACTCTCTCCCCAGACTCAGTAGCATCTGCTGATCAAAATGGGACTTTCAAAGCTACGTGGCAATCATTCCAGAGTTGGTTTCCAAATGGAGGAGCTAGTTCGCAACAAATCCAGGAGCGGTGAGCCTGCCTTAGCGTGAAAAGGAGATGAGCCAGGCTCAGACATTTACAAAGCATTGTCCTGACTTCAAATGGCGATCAGATGCAGCCAAATCAAAGGGTGGGGGAAGAGTTCAAAGTGCGCCCGAGAGGGGACATGACAGGGACGCCAACCTGGCCCCTTTTTTCTCCCGTAAATTCCAAGCCAGGACAAGTGCACACGACGGATGGACCAGCAGGAGGTTTCCACTGCTCCAAGTCACACACAGGCAGGCTTGGACAACAGACTGTGTCGTCTGATTCTTTCACCATGGACGGTGCTACATGGGCCAAGAAAGATTTTAGCTGTGTGTGTTATTTCTCTAGTTCTTTAAATACGAAGACCTCTTAAAATGGACATTCCTTGCTGAAGAAATCTTGGAAGTTGGTCATGAGATCAAGACAATGTTTTCAGCATATGATACAAGAGTTCTTCTAAATATAACTTTGTGATTCAGGCATCCAAAACACAATAGCGAAAAGGTTACTTTGGACCACTTCACACCCATTAGCATGGCTATTATCCGAAAACAAAAACAAAACAAAAATAACAAGCGTTGAAGAGGAGGTAGAGGAACTGGACTCTTTGTGCATTGCTGGTGGGAATGTAAAATGGTGTGGCCACTGAAGGAAACAGGACAGTATCTCCTCAAAAAATTAAACCTAGAATTACCACAGGATCCAGCAATTCCACTTCTGGCTATAAGCCCCAAATAGTTGAAAACAGGGACTCGAAGAGATACGTTCATAGACATACACCCATGTTCACAGCGGCATTATTCACAATAGTCAAGAGGTAGAAATGACCTCAATGAATAAAAGGATACACAAAATGTGATATATACACACAAGGGAATATTATTCAGCCTTAAAAAGAAAAGGAAGTCTGACGCATGCTACAAGATGGAAGAACTTTGAGGGCATTATGCTGAGTGAAATAAGCCAGGCACAAGGAATAAACTTCTACTTATATGAAGAACCTGGAGCAGTCAGATGCATAGAGACAGAAGGGAGGATGGTGGTTGCCAGGGATCGGGGTTGGGGGGGGTGATCATGGGGACTTACTGTTTAACGGGCACAGAGTTGCAGTTTTACAAGAGGAAAAGAATTCTGGAGATGGATGTGGTGATGGTTCTACCACAATATGAATGTACTTAACATCCCTAAACTGTACCCTTAGAAGTGGTGAAAATGGTAAATTTTATACTGTGAATATTTTTTAAAGTTTAAAGAAAAAGGTCAGTTTTCCAAAGAAGGAAGATGTAAGGACCCCTTTGTTCACTTCTGGCTGAGGGTTGTAGGAGACGCAGAAGGGGCTGAGACACAAAGCTGGGCATCAGGGAATTGTGTTTACAAAGAGCAGTAACACCAGGCAGGATGTGATGAGGGCTCCAGTGAAACTATAAGCAAGTCCTAAAGGAGTACAGTCCCAGGTGAGGGTCATTCTGCCGGGGGTCGTCTAGAATAGCCTTCATGGAAGGAATGATATTTCAGCTGGGCTGGGAGGGGGGAAGAGAAGTTCTTTAGGTAGAGAGGCACAGGGAAGACCATACAAGTGGTGTGAATAGCTTAAGCAGGGGCAACACACATGTACTAGAGAGAGGGCAGATTGGTTTGACCAGAGAACAGAACAGGGGTAAAGACACAAAAAGACATGAGGATATGAGGTTGGGAAAAAAAAAAAGGCAGGGTCCTAGCTCTGAAGGACATTGAATCCCCCAGCCCAAGGAATGCGGACTTTGATTCTACCGACAGTGAAGAATCAATGAAAGTTTCTGGAAAAGGGAGCAGTGTTTCTATTTGAAAGCACTGACCGTCAATTAGAAACAAAGCTGGCAATCAAGAAAAATGAGCAAACGACAGAGTTCATCAATAAGTAAATTCCCACTGATAGTCAGAGAAAGGCAAGTTGAAACCCCACTGAAGAGATCAGTTTGAACTTACTAGGTTCACAGAGATCAGAAAGTCCGGTAACACTCTGTCCCGGTTGGACTGGCCTCTTATGTCCCGCTGGGGAAAGCGATCTCTGTGGATGGCAGTCAGGCAGAATCCATCAAAAATATAACTGCACCCACCCTCCAGCCCAATAATTCCTCCTCTAGGATTTTATCCTACCCATATACTCAAATTTGTGTAAAATGATGTATGTACGGGCTTGCACTCCAGCACTGTTTGTAACAGCAAAGGATGCAGAACTAAATGCCCATCAAGACCGAGTTGGTTCAGTAACCGATAGGACATCCACTCCTGGAGTGCTAGATAGCTATTAAAACAAGGAAGAGTTTCACGGACAGATAATGAAGTGAACTCCAAAGTTTGAAGTTTTTTTTTTTTTTTAAACAAGGTTCAGAAGTACCATTTGAGGTTTTTTTTAAGAAAAGGAAAAATAGGGCGCCTGGGTGGCTCAGTTGGTTAAGTGACTGCCTTCGGCTCAGGTCATGATCCTGGAGTCCCGGGATCGAGTCCCGCATCGGGCTCCCTGCTCGGCAGGGAGTCTGCTTCTCCCGCTGACCCTCCCCCCTCTCATGCTCTCTCTCATTCTCTCTCAAATAAATGAATAAAATCTTAAAAAAAAAAAAAAGAAAAGGAAAAATAGATACACATTTGCTTGAATACACACAGCATTGGTTGCTCACATGGAGAAGGATGAGGTGACCAAGAGACAGGCTAAGAGAGAGATGTGTGCTATATATCCTTATTTATCTTTTGGATTTTGTACTACATGAATATTAAAAAAAAAAAAAACGGAGTTGAGGGGGGATGGAGAGAAAAGCAACTGTCCTAAAGATGAAAATTTAAAAATGTAGCTTCTCCAAGTGACAGAGTGAGAAGGGCTGGCCATTGCTTTTGATTAGTCATGGGAAAACTGTGGGAAGAAATATGTAAAGAGGTGGGTACAGTCCAAATTGTCTGCTCCCGCAGTGAGAGCCTTAATTGTTGCATGCTCTCATTTATACTTCCAAATTACAGGGGGGAAAACAAACATAAAAATAATCTTATAATTAGAAGTAGCTACTCTAAGAGCGGACGAGCCCTTGGTGATGAGCCAGCCCACCCCATTCTTCCAACAAGGCAATGATCACTGAGAGGGGATGTCCTCCGACATCACCCAGCTGGTGGCTTCCCAGAGGCAAGCCCAGGAGCCCAGCCCCTTGCTTTCACTCCCTCTCCCACGTTCTCCAGCACGCAGCACACAACAGCGAGACTATAAACAGTTGGCCAGGCGGAATTCTGCTTTCTCGTGAATAGAGATAGCCCCAGCATTTGTCCACAAGCGGCGGTTTGTTCATTCAGCCAGATGTGCCAAGATGCGGCCCCCTTCTCAAGATGCGAATCCAGTCGATGAGGCCCCCGCGGAGGCCAGCCGAAGACAGAGAGGTGGGCACCCCTCATTCCAACTGCCCCTCATGCCCACCATCACTCAATTCCACATTTGCCCAGTTAATGAGGCAACAGAGAGCAGAGTCCAGGACATGCTGTGACATACTGAGTATCACCTGGTGTTCTTTTTCCAAGAATGACTTAAAACCTCTTCCTCGTTCCTTTTATATATACCTTAAAAAAAAAAACCCAGCCCTCTTCTCCCACTTCAATTTTTAAAAAAATAATTTTTTTTTAAAGATTTTTATTTATTTATTTGACAGAGAGAGACATAGCGAGAGAGGGAACACAAGCAGGAGGAGTGGGAGAGGGAGAAGCAGGCCTCCCCCCGCAAGCAGGGAGCCGGATGCGGGGCTCAATCCCAGGACCCTGGGATCACGACCTGAGCCAAAGGCAGACGCTTAACGACTGAGGCACCCGGGTGCCCCTTCAATATTTTTTTTAAATCATGTTTTTATCACTGACGCTAGAACTCCAAGTTAATACTTCTTTTAAACGGAATTCTGGGGGAAAGGTTATATGATTTCACTGCAAAGTGCAGTTAGTAGTAATGTTCATTACTTTACTTCTTAGTGCTAAACATGCATCAGTCCACTTTCCCACGTTAAGAAGCACAGCGTGCTGAAGCTGGTTTCAGTTTCGCTTGATGACCCATGACATCAGGCTCATCATTGCCGAGATCAGCGGTGACAGATGAGAACGAAGAAGGTATAGGACACCTGACCGTGTTCTCCCTCCAGCCCTTCCATCAAAATTCGGCTTTAAAGGAAATCTCTATACATGCAGATGGAGATTATTTTATTTTCACCTACTTCAAAGCCTCAAGTGCAGGAAAAGTAAATCCAAGGTTTACAGGTTCTAGGTGGGCGCTATCTGATACAGAAGCCACGAGTCCTATGAAGCGCTGGTAATGGGGCTGGTCCAAATTACTGTGTGTGTACAAGATACACTGGATTCCAAAGACAATTTAAAAAAAAAATGCAAACTATCTCATTAATATTTCTTATCCCGATTACATGTTGAAATGATCATATTGAGATAGGGCAAGTTAAATAAAATATATTACTAAAATTAATTTCACCTGTTACTTTTTTTTTTTTAAAGATTTTATTTATTTATTCATGAGAGACAGAGAGAGAGAGAGAGAGAAGCAGAGGGAGAAGCAGACTCCCTGCCGAGCAGGGAGCCCGATGCGGGACTCGATCCCAGGACTCCGGGATCATGACCTGAGCCGAAGGCAGACGCCCAACCGTCTGAGCCACCCAGGC